TTCCTTAAAAATGGTTTAGGATTTCTCAAACATGTCTTAATCTTATCAATTTTCCAGTCTTCTGAAACTAACAAAGAGCCTACAAAGCTTTCAAAGATTATAATTTAAATTGAAATGCTAAAGAAATAAAGATGTCTTCATCAAACACATCCCCTCAAAGCTCCAGGAATTCTGTGGAAGAGGAGGGAGCCACAGGTGATGGATGAGGACACAATGTCTTCCAGATACAGCAGAACATACAAATTCACAGAGACCATGTCAGCATGCTCAAGACCTGCACAGGTTCAAGCAAAATGGGTCCCAGCACTGGGGTCGGGGGTGGACATGGGGTCCCAGCACTGTAGTCAGGGGTGGACATGGGGTCCCAGCACTGGGGTCGGGGGTAGACATGGGGTCCCACTCAGGTCTCAGCACTGTGATTGGGGGTGAACATGGGGTCCCACTTGGATCCCAGCACTAGGGTCGGGGTGGACATGGGGTCCCACTCAGATCCCAGGACTAGAGTCAGGGGTGGACATGGGGTCCCAGCACTGGGGTTGGGGGTAGACATGGGGTCCCACTCAGGTCTCAGCACTGTGATTGGGGGTGAACATGGGGTCCCACTTGGATCCCAGCACTAGGGTCGGGGTGGACATGGGGTCTCACTCAGATCCCAGCACTGGAGTCAGGGGTAGACATGGGGCCCCAGCACTGGGGTGAGGGGTGGGCATGAGGTCCTACTCGGGTCCCAGCATTGGGGTCAGGGGGTGGGATATGGGGGTCCCACTTGGATCCCAGCACTGGGGTCGGGGATGGACATGGGGTACCACTCAGGTCCCAGCACTGGGGTCGGGGGTGGGCATGAGGTCCTACTCGGGTCCCAGCACTGGGGTCAGGGGGTGGGATATGGGGTCCCACCCCAATCAAGAAGCTGTCTGTACTTGATGCCTGCTAGCAAAGGGAGAACCAGTTTTCTCTAATAAAGTGTCACTAGGTATATCAACCACACTAGAGGGTATAGGACAGTCCCCACGTCTAGAAGTTGAACAATACAAAACAAACTCCTCTTTTTTCTTTTTAATGCAAGCTTTAACTTTTGTTTTGTTTGGGCATGTTTTGTATTACTGGATTTTTGTTTGTTTGATTTGATTTTTCATTTTTGTAGATTTTTGTTTGTTTTGATTTTGTAAGAGAGAGAAAAAGCATAAATAGTCTGGGAAGGAGGGTGGGAAAAATGGAGGAGAAGATGGGGGAAGAGAAAACAGAGCCAAAAATGTATTCTATAAAATTTTTTAAATATTAACAAAAAGGGAAATAGATGGCTCAGAAGTTAAAAACAGTTGCTGTTCTTCAGAGGACTGAAGTTGAGTGTCCAGCATCCATGTCAAGTGACTTACAACCATCTGTAACTACAGCTTCATGGGATCTGATGTCCTCCTCTGGCTTCTGCAAGTATCTGCACACACATGCACATACACACATAGATACACAGAGACATATATATTTAAAGACATAAAGACTTCTGTTTATATATTAAACATTTTGACTTCATAAAATCTCATATATGAAATGTATTTTGCATAAATATTGGATATAAGTAAATATATGTGCATATATATATACATATATATATATATATATGAATGCCAAAATCAGATGAAATATGAACTGTGCAGACTTTACAGCCTAGTTAATTTACCCTAAATGTGTGGGATTTCAGCTCTTTAACAATGCTGATGATGAAAATGCCCATGGACATTTTGTACAACTGTACATGTATTCTAAGCAATATAGCACCTTTTTTTCTTCCCTTTCTGAATAGTGAAGTCTTTGAAGTTGAAAAAAAAAACAGGAATATAAACAACAGCAGCAACATGAAGATTTGCCTTTCATGATTTTGATCATTGACAGGACGTAACAAACAGGACTGCCTTCATGGCATATAAGACAGAGGATTCCATCCACTCTGCTAGGCAGGAGTGGGTATCACATCACCAGGATTCCCACCAAGTGCTGCAGTCATGCTTTCTGTTTGCTTAGCTTACCCACTCCCACCTCCTCACAGCCAAGTGATGTCTCCTAACAAAATACATCAAAGTGAGTGCATAAACCCGTCCTCTGTGCCAACTGTAGAGGGTTCCAGCGAAGCTTGTAGATATTTATAAATATCTTTTTCTCTATATTTAAGAAGGTAGGAGCAACAGACACTCTGCTCTTTACTGGATGATGGCAGTAGTAATATACATGTGACATATTTTTACCCTTGAGATGCAAAAGTACTTCAGAGATAAACAAATACTTTTTTGAACTCAGCTGGCCTCTATTGGAAGGTTATAATGTTCTCCAATTCATGTGCACTGAAAGGAAACCACTTACTGAAAATACACAGGTAAAGTCCTTAGTAGGATAAAACCTCTAAGCCTGGTTAGGGTCCTAGTATGTGGATTTGAAATTTTCATGATTAAAAAATTCAAGATTTGAAATAATTATAGGACTTTGATACTGGTTAACTTAAATATATTTAATACATGTCTCTGTGAGTGTGTGTGTGTGTGTGTGTGTGTGTGTGTGTGTGTGTGTGTGTGTGCATATGCAAACATGTTTGCTTCTGTTTTACATTGTTTCATCTTTTTGTGTGTCTCCATGACTCAGTTCCAATATTATTTTTTAAAATCACTACAGTCTATTTGGTAGCTTTCAAAATCATGAGGAAGACTTAAGATTTAAAATACAAATGACATTTAAAAACAGCATGACCAGGAACTTTAAGAGACTCATCTACTCACAAACTCTTGATTCCCTTCATTACCCTGTAAAAGTCCCTAACCTTTGAAAGTCTTGGTTTTCTTCATTAGCAAACAGAATGGTGGAGGTTATATCCAAAATTCCCTTCAGTCATCATACTATAAAATATGTAAGAAAAGCCAACAAAACAGCAACCAGAGTCCCCACAACACTGTCACTGTTTTTTATACCTCTAGCACTGAGGTTCTCAGACTTCCTTATGCAGTGACCAGTTAATACAGGTCCACATGTTGTGGTGAACCCAACCATAAACTTATTTCATTGCTATTTCATAACTATTTTTTGCTGTTGTTATGAATCACAATATAAAGATCTGATATGCAGGATATCTGATATCCAACCCCTCTGGGGATCACGACCCACAAGTTGAGAACCATTGCTCTAGCAAATGGTAGCTTATATGAGGAAATGTTTAGAATTTATATTATCTGGCTAGTTCTAGGCAAACAGCTACAACAAATGATAATATCTGAGAATGTGTAGCTCCTTATTAGAATATTAGAGTTAGAATAATTTTAATTTAGTAACACCTATGAGGAAAAAGGGTTTCACAATCAAACTAACCAGCTAAAGAATATTTGTAAGAGAAATTCATGTACTTGGGAAATAACTCACTGTGATAGTTAAAGTTTATTATTTTTAAACCAAGTAATGGGAAATTGAAATAGCATCCAATTAACAGACATGAGTTGTTTAGATTTTCTATTTCTTCTTGTGTCAATTTTATCATACTTTTTCCTTACAAAATTTAATTCCTGTCTCTTAGTTGAATGTATTTGTCATAAAATGTTGTACACACTGCCTTATTTTCCTTTTCATGTAGAATGATGCCCTTTCTTTCATCTCTGATGTCATTAATTTGTATCTTCTCTCTTTTTGAAAAATAAAATGTGACAGGAGCTTATACATTTCATTCATCTTTTCAAAGAACTAACTTGTGTATTTGTTAACTGCTTTATTATTAATCTTAAATTTCATATTTTCTGTTTGATTTTTATAATGCACATTGCTTATTTTTTTGCTTTGTTTTTTTACAAAGAATGTGTTTTCTGTAGCTGTTGGATATGGTCTTATATATATCTCCACTGGTCAAATTAATTGATGGTTTGTCTTTAAATCTAGAATTTTCTTCATTATTTTAATAACTTTCCTTTCTACATTGGAGAGGCCTGACTTTATGAACATCTTCTTATACATAAAATTTGCCTTAAAATACACTAATCTACTATCCCAATATCCAGAATATTTCTTTGAATATTTTTATTTTTAAATATATGTATAAGGAAGGGATTGTACACATGTGAGCTGTTACCCACTAGCTAGAAGATGACATCAGATCCCCTGGAGCCAGAGTTACAGGCAGTTGTGATCCATCTGATGTAGGTGTTAGGAACTGAACCAATATTCTCTCAAGAGCAGTACATGATCATGATGACCACCAAGCAATCTCTCAGCTCTGATTCTCTCCTTTTAATATAACCAATTAAGCCAACTAAAAATTAATGGTGCAAATTGTTGCTTTTGACTGGACCCCATGGTTTGTGCTGCATGTGTACAGGTCATGGGCCAGTGAGGTATTTGAGAAGAGTTTGTATTCAGATGCAGAACTCCTCCTTTGAACTCTTTTCCTTTGTAGGATTCCATAATCAGTTTCCATTTACTCCCTGACCCCAGGTTCTCCAATAATGCTAATAAATGAATATGAATGTACCCTGTATGTATGTATATATGTATGTATGTATATATATATATATATATATATATATATATATATATATATATATATATATATATATATATATATATATATAAACACATCTGAAATCTTACCTTTCCAGAAAATTTGCCCTGCAAGCAAAAGGACCTGATTTCAAATCCTCAGCACACATATAAAAGTCACACACCAGCATTGTGGCACAGAAACAGGTGAGAGCTCCCTGGCCAGCCAGTCTAGCTAAAACAGTGAGGTTCTGGTTCAATGTGAAGCCATGTGTCAAAATAATAAGTTGATTAGCAATAGAGTCACCCAACATTCTACTGTGGCCTCAGCATACATACATATAGATTCACATACTCACATGCATGTAACATATACATTTGAGTTCTTAACAACCTATGTTTCCGTATACTTCAGTATTAAAGTCAGTAGGTATATTGTCAACAACAAAAATAAACACATTGATTTATCTTTTTTTTCTGTTGTTTAAAAGATCTACCTTTTGCTTGGCTTCTGGTCTGTCTTTGTAGGTAGTTCTTTCTTCTTATGGGATTTCTGAAAAGAGTTAAGCAGCATTATTTGTTATAGCCAGAACCTGGAAACAACCTAGATGCCCTTCAACTGAAGAATGGATAAAGAAAATGTGGTACATATACACAATGCAGTACTACACAGCAGAGAAAAACAATGACATCATGAGGTTTGTAGGCAAAGGAATGAACTAGAACATATCATCCTGAGTGAGGTAGCCTAGACTCAGAAAGACAAACATGGTATGTATTCACTCATAAGTGGATACCAGATGTAAAGCAAAAGATAACCAGACTGCAACTCACAGCTTCAGGGAGGCTATCTAGTAAAGAGGACGCTTGGAAAGACATAGGGATTGCCCAAAGACAGGGCAGTGGATGAGATCTACATGAGCAAACTGGGGTTGGGAGGGGGTAATGGAGGGCAAGGGTCAAGGGAAAGAGAGTTTAGGGGAGCAGGAGGTCCTAGCTGGATCAGGAACAGAGTGGGAGAACAAGAAAAGAGATACCATAATAAATGAAGACACTATGGGAATAGGAAGAAGCAGAGTGCTAGAGAAGTCCCCAGGAATCCACAAAGATGACTCCACCATAGACTACTGGAAATGTTTGAGTGGGTGCCTGAGCTGACCTACACTGGTTATCGGATGGCTGAATACCCTAACTATCATGATAGAACTCTCATCCAGTGACTGATGGAAGCAGATGCACAGATCCACGGCCAAGTCCCAGGCAGAGCTCCAAAAGTCCAATCAATGAGAAAGAGGAGGGATTATATGAGCAAGAGATATCAAGACCATGACTGGAAAAAGTACAGAGACAACTAGCCAGACTAGTGGAAATGCATGGTACTGAACTAGACCCTCTGGATAAGTGAAACAGTTACTTAGCTTGAACTGTTTAGGGGGCCCCCAGGCAGTGAGACCGGGACCTGTCCTTAGTGCATGAGCTGGCTTTTTGGAACCTAGTTTGAGACACTTTGCTCAGCCTTGGTGCAGGGAGGAGGGGCTTGGACCTGCCCCAATTGAATGTACCAGGCTCTGCTGATTCCCCAGGGGAGACCTTGCCTTGGAGGAGTTGGGAATGGGGGGGTAGGTTGGGGGGAAGGCTGGGGGTGGGAGGAGGGAGGACAGAGGAATCTGAGGTTGATATGTAAAATGAATAGAAAATCTCTTAATAAACAAATAAATAAATAAATAATAAATAAAAGAAAATAACTTGACTACCTACAAAATTTTGTGTTCTGATATATTTTCAAGTGGAGAATAAATCTTTATAATATTGGTATATATTTATATTCATAATATATATCATAAACCAAAATATCCATATGAATGTGTAGGTATGCTCAGATTGCTAAATCTTCTTCAGTATCTTTTTGCACCCAGATATATAACTCCTATTAATAATTCTAGTGAGCAAGTGTTTTTATAAATTTTTTATAGATAAGAATTTATTTGGCTGTGCCTTACAAAAGAACTGATGTAACATCTTACAAAGTAACACCATCTATGAAAAATAAAAATAACTTTAAATTAGGTTAGTGGGAAAATATAAGTAGAAGGAGGCTGTGGACTATTTCCTGATATTACTTGGTGTGTCTATCAGAATTGGTTATCAGATTCCTAGCTGTCAAAGATTTATAGACTAAAATACACTCTCCTCAACTGAAGCCCCAATACCCAGTGTGTTTGTGTTTTTAGCAAAGTGTAGCTAGAGTTTTCCTGCCTGGCCCACAGTCAGGACAAATCTCTCTCACCTTCCAGTCCCACAGCCGCTCAGACCCAACCAAGTAAACACAGAGACTTACATTGGTTACAAACTGTATGGCTGTGGCAGGCTTCTTGCTAACTGTTCTTACAGCTTAAATTAATCCATTTCTATAAATCTATACCTTGCCATGTGGCTCGTGGCTTACCGGCATCTTCACATGCTGTTTTTTTATCATGGCGGCTGGCAGTGTGTCTCTCTCAGCCTTCTACTTCCCAGCTTTATTCTCCTCCTTGTCCCGCCTATACTTCCTGCCTGGCCACTGGCCAATCAGTGATTTATTTATTGACCAATCAGCAACACACTTGACATACAGACCATCCCTCAGCAGCAAAGGCTTCTAAAGAAGAGTGAGGTGAGGCCCTGCAACAGGACTGATGACCTCCTAAGGAGAGGAAGAGACACCAGAATATGATCCTCTGATGGCAGAAGGTCAAAGAGGCAAAGACTCTCAAACTAAGAGAAAGAAATCCTCTTGCTGGTATCCTAAGCTTGGACTTTCAGCCTCCAGAATTATGAGATAATTAATTCTCCTGGTTAAGTCATATACATTGTTGTGTTCTGTGACTACAACCCTAAAAGACTAATGTAAAAACACCCAGGAAAACAGTCCAGTAAGACTTATATTCAGTGAGAAATGTCTTCCATATGTCATTCAAAACAAGCTTGCATCATTCTCAATGATTTCACAACCATGTTTAATATGGAGTTTTCTTATACATTCCTTTAATATTAATCCATGACAAGAGTAGATAGCTCCAAATAACTGGCCATTGCCTCTCTGATCAATGTGAGCCAAAGGTGAAGCTGATCCATTTCATCCACTTTATAATCTTCCATGATGATCACTTTGTACAAAATACCTTTTGAAAAAAATAGGGATGAGGAATTTGAAGTCATTCTGATAACAGAATGAAAAAAAAATGGTGCATGGGTGGTCGCTGTTGTCTCTGCCAGATTTGATGAAGTCAGTTAATGGAAGTTTTTGTGGTATGTGATAATATGGCATATGCATATCACCTGGAAAATGTGTCTTTTTTCTTCACATTTACTGAACCAAAACATATCATATAAATTCTCAGAAAATACAGAAGGCAACATAAAGATGAAATGTAAAGATGTTGCATTTGTGCTGCAAAAATGCTCAGTTTTAAGACCTAGGGTGTTTGTTTAAAATCATAGCTGTTACTTACAAAGCTGAGCTGCATTTTGTAATACATTTCTCTCAGATGCAGTCTTAGTTGTATATGTTCATGCTCTCTCATGGCATTCATTTCTAAGAACTAAGATGCTTTTTTTTTGTACAGTTACATTAGAAAACAAGAACCTTGAAAACAGATTGATACTTTCAGAATCTCTGGATCACACATTCTTTTTCAAAGTAAACAACTTCTCCAAAAATAATAGTATAATTTTTAAATTCATGTACAACACTTAAGTGATATTAACCACAAATCTAGGGTTTTCACTGTTGCCTTCAGGATGCCCCAAGACAGGTATTCATGGCTACAAAGCTACTAATGGTTCATAAAACTTAAGTTTTAGTCTTTGTGTTCCATGTTTTTACAGGAACTGTTTTTGGCTTGGGATACCCTGTCCTTAGGTGAGGGTACTACTTATACTGATATCATGTTCTTCTTGGTCAGACTAACCAAATTGCAAGTTCTCCATAACCGAGCGTCTGATGTGAGGACCCCCTCTGGGACGCTTTCTCGATCTTGCCCTTTCCTCTTCTGCAGACTCACTGGAGTCACTTCCTCCATTGGTGCCCTTTTCCTCCTTCCTAACCTAGCTAGAAAAGATTTGGGGTTTGTTTTGGTTTTCCTATGCATTTGTTGTTTGCTGTGGTTTGTTTTTGCAAATGGGATGCAGTTTTTGTTTCCAAGGGTTCTCCCCTAAGCTTTAGTCTTCCACAGACTTCTACGCTGCCTTGATATTTCAACTCCATTTTCACTTGAAATGCTTCTTCTTTGCACAGCTGCCTCCTGCTTCTTCCAACCTCCCTAAGTTCCTTCTTTCTGCCTAGAAACAGCTTTTCTGTTCTGAAACATTTGGCTGAAGAATGTATAAGCTACTAATAAAACTCTCCTGACACAATTTTCAAATTTTTTGTAACAACCTGAGTAGATTTATTTCACATCACTTCCCAGACTCATTCCCCACATATTCTCTCAAATATCAGAATTAACTGGGTACTCACTTCTGGAATTTACACAATATTATTACACCTCAGGCTTCTTTTTAGAAAAACGGCTGTCTAACCCATCAATCCCCATCCTCTTTCTAAATTTGTTTTTTTCCCCTTTCTGACAGATCCTCATAGTATAATAATTAAACTCTTACACTGATTAACTATAGAACTTCTCGAGCCTTTCATTTTGAATGTTACTGCTAGACAGATTGCTATTTCACTCTACTGCCATGAATTTCTGAAATATATTTGCTATAAAAAGGTACTCTATAACTGACATGCTACTCCCTAGAAACCCCAAATGTGATTAAAGGGGTATTCTCTATGTCATAAGGAATTCTTGTAGTTTTAAACAGTCATGTGTCCCTGATAGAGTACATAAAAAACATGATATATAAACATATCATTCAAGGTAAAATGATCAGTCTTCAAAGAGGCAACTGTAAAAGGAGATTATTTCTAGTACATACATGTGATGTTAGAAGTTACACATCAAAACATGTGAAATCAACTGAGAAGCTTTCCTGCCAGGCTAGACTATTACAGCAGTGTTTCTTCTGTGGAAGTCAGCCATGCCCCTAGCACTGTGAGGAGCAGTGAGCTACAGTTCTCGAGCCACAACTGCTTCCAATCTGAGAAATAACTTGAACAGGAAGAAATGCCAAGTATTGGCACACATGCAGAATCAAAAGTCACCAAATGTATTTTGGGGCATTTTTATATGTCATTCTCTTTGCATTCTTGAACTTAAGAGTGTCCCAGCACATAGAGGGCCCCAGATAGAGAAAATAGTTAAGATCTCCTGGGTAAACTGGGGGGTGGGGAGAAGAGAAGGGATAGGGAGATGGGAACAAGTGGTACAGAGATGGTTGAGTGGAGAGAGGGATGGAGAGGGAGAGCAATGAAAGAGATATCTTGGTAGAGGGAACCATTAAGGATTAAGGAAGAAACCTGGTGCTAGGGAAATCCCCAGGAATCCACAAGGATGACACCAACTAAGACTCCTAGCAATAATGGAGAGGGTGCCTGAACTTACCTTTCCCTATTATTAGATTAGTGACTAC